TGTACCTGGGATGATGGTACAGCAGCCATGTTAGCCCTTTAATGTGCTCCCAAATAGGGCAGCTATAAAGTAACAGGATATTTGCACAGAATGTGCATAAGCTGATTTAGTAGAAATATCTACTATAATGTAAAAAGCAATAAAATTATCCCACTACAGTGGGAAAACTACTGAAGGGCAAGTTCCATGTTCCTGATGGTTTTCCCTTCTTATAGTTGTTTATCTTCAAACTGGACAGTTCTTCAACCAGAGGACACCACCAGGCTAAGGATTTCCCTCTGTGCAGTAGGATGCATTGTCACCCCTCTGCCAAAGTACAACCTTGATATTTCAAAGGAAGTAGAACCCCACCAGAAGAGAATTATGCCCCTGTTACTGAATCAGAAACCTTCCCAACCAAGAATTTGGTCTGTTTTCAGGAGACTTTATGCACAATGGATATAATTCAACTACTTAAAAATAGAAAAGATTATCAGACCATCCTGGTAAAAACATGGGAAAAGGCTGAAAAGAGCAGTGAAAAGGAGGATTAAACCTCTTAATTTTATATGGATAGGGAGACCTTCACGAGCAGGCAGTGCTGATGACAAAAAACAAAGGCACGGGGTAGAGTCCTGAGTGCTTTATCCATGCCAGCTTCCCCCTACATCATGGGTCCTCAAACTACGGCCAACGGGCTGAATCCGGCCCACCATAGAGGTTTTGGACTCACCTCGCGTGCGTGTGGAGGCACCGGCTTGCTCTCAAGGAGATCGTTTTGGACTCGCTCAGAGAAAACGATCTGTGTGCATGCATGTCCCTGCCTCACTGCGCACGCACATGCACCCCCCCCCACCTGCACCGCCTTGGCTGCCTGTGCCCATCGCCGGCACCTTTCAACTGGCCCCCTGTTCAAAACGTTTGAGGACCCCTGCCTACATCCTAGCCCAGATTTCACTTCTGCCCTTTCCTTGACAGCCTTAAACATCATTAAGCATTTCATTAGCATTGACATTAAGAGTGAAGCTGCCCTCTGTCCATTGTCACAGTAGTATGGCAGTTGCCTGTTAGTGGTCCTTCCCACTCTGGTTTGGTAACATTTGGAAGCCCAGCAGCATGTGGGAACATGGCTTATCATCCGTCCCATTATCACATTGCTGGGAGTGGGGAAAGCCTATGCAACTGGGTCCCTGGTGTTGCCAAGGCAGAATGAGACAAAGTATTTTGAAAAAGATCTTGGAGTAATTGTGGACAAGAGGCTAAACATGAGCCAACAATGCAGTGCAGCTGCCAAAAGGGCAAATGCTATCTTGGGATGCATTAACAGAAGTATTACTTCCAAATCACAAGAAGTAGTAGTTCCTCTATGCTCCTCACTTGTCAGACCTCACCTGGAATATTGTGTCCAGTTCTGGGGACCAAGATTTAAGAAAGATATAGGCAATTAGAAAGGGTGTAGAGGAGGGCAACAAAAGTGATCCAGGCTTTGGAAACACCGCCCTATGAGGAGAGACTGAGAGAACTGGACATGTTCAGCCTTGAGAAGAGAAGACTGAGGGAGGACATGATATCCATCTATAAGTACCTCAAAAGCTGTGACAGAGAGGAAGGTCAAGATCTCTTCTCACTGATACCAAAGTGCAGGACATTGAATCATCAATTCAAGCTGTGACAATGCAGATTCAGGCTGGACATCAGGAAAAGCTTCCTCACTGTCAGAGCAATACAACAGTGGCACCAGCTGCCTAGAGAGGTGGTGGACTCTCCCACACTAGAGACATTCAAGGCAAAACTGGACAGCCATCTGAGTAGGAAGATGTAACGTGGTGACTTGCAACAGCAGGGGGTTGGACTCAAAGTCCTTCATGGTCCCTTCCAACGCTACTGTTCAATGATTTGGAAATGGCCACAGTGCTGCTATGGTAATTTCTAAAGGAGCATTTATGTATGGGCAACCATGGCAAATGCAGTATGCAACTATGGAAAAGACCAAACTTAGAGAGAAGTGAGGTACTGGGGAGTTTCTCGCAGGCTCTTAACTGTGCTACTAGTATTGTGACTCTAACACTGGTTTATCAGATGAAAACGCAGGGGCTTGTTTCTCTCCCCCCATTTCACTTCTCTTGGCCCTCTTCCCAGTTATGTTCTATTCATGTCTTTGGTAACTTATTTTTAAAGTAAGAGACAATTCGATTCTCTCTCTCTCTCTCTCTCTCTCTCTCTCTCTCTCTCTCTCTCTCTCTCACACACACACACACACACACACACACACACACACACAGTCACAAACATTAATTGCACATGTCTGTTTTCCATTTCTTCCTTCCCTTTTTGCTGCCTGGGCATGTAAAAATAACCCAATTTGCCAAAATGAAAGCAACGTGGGGGTCAGTGTCTCATTCAGGCCTGCAAGTCAGTCACCCTGTGGAGCTTGTCAAATGAAGAATAGCAGCCACAGCAGCATGGGCTTAATGGGGCTGAAGCAGAGGATCGCGGGTCATTTGCATCAGCAATATTTTAATTGGCCCATAGGTACTCCAGTGATTGGCATACTGAAATTGCTTTAGGTAGCCTTAATACGCAATGCTCAATTTCAGAAGAGTGATCTCCTAATTCATGAAATATAATGATGTGCATTAATTCTGTAGCGCAGCTGCAAAATGTTAAGTCATGGGAGTTTTCACTGCAGATTTCTCATGCCTCTGCGTCAGTTCTACAAATTGGACCACTGAGATATAATTCTTTTTTTCTCCAAGCTATGCAAAGTGGGGAGAAAAATTAAATAGTTGCATCCGCTACGGCCTCATCATTCTGAAGGCTTCTTGCATGCTTTATTTTCAAGCCTCAAAACATTTTCTGACAATAGGTTGGAGAAAGGTTAGGTCCTAATTGAGTTCACGGTACTTTGCACACTTGCTATCAAAGATCACATTAGCAGTGGGAAAATATTTGGGTTTTCACAGTGGGCACGTCTTTCTTGACAGAGGCATCAAGGAGCTTTTTTAATTGCAGTGGTATCTACAAGCCCTAGACATAAACAAACACATTTTTGTGTTTGAGGCACTGAAACAAAAGGCAGTTGTGGCCTATTTATTTATTAGATTAGACTTCTAATGTTAGAACACAGGCTGTGTTCTGTGTGTATTTGTGACAGTAGGCGTCATAGTACACAGCAGAACCTAGGAAATAAGCATAGGATTGGGCAGTAGATATTTATAAGAAAAACAAAAATGTCCATACAGATGGATATTTGCTACTACTAACAGGGAAACTGAAAGAATGAGGATACTTTCTAGTATTTTGCTTAAGAGTAATGATCATGATAGAATTGTCCTTCATTTGGCTTAAGGGATATACTCATCATGAGAAGGCCAGATTCACTGGAGAAGGCAACCATGCTAGGGAAAGTCAAAGGCAGAAGATGAGGAAGACCAGCTATGAAATGGGTTGATTCTATAAAGAGGCCACAGAGTTTAGCAGGGCTGACAGGGACAGGACATTCTGGAAGGCATTCATTCATAGGGTCACCATGAATGACAACCTGACAGCAAGAAAACCAAAAATATGTATGTAACAACAAAAAGTATGTACATGCCTGAACTCAGAACATTCCTAATTAGGTGTATATAGGGAGGAAGTGTACATGGGCATTCCCATGGAAACCCCTTACCCCAGTGCTTTTCAGTCAGGCTTGTTTCTGGCATAGGAACCTGCCTTAGGAGGCTGTATCGGGAGTTGTGGGGAGCAGAAGGAGACCATGGCTAGGTAAGTAGTTAGTTTTATGAGGATTTAGCCCCTTCACGGAAGGACTCTTCTGCTGTAAATAAAGGGCGCATGGACACACATCATCATCACCATTGTTGTCAGGGATTTCTATCCCTCTGTTCTACCATTGTAATCAGAGTGACTAAGAGCATAAATAAAAAGCACCGATCATAAGCTGCTGTACAAATAGACAGTTATCTACCTGCCTGCCTCTCCAGGGAGTCTTGCCTTCTTGTGATGAGTGTATCCCCTAGGCCTAATAGAGGACAATTTTATCATTAAACAAGTACTAGAAAGTATCACACATACTTTGTACATGACTGAGATCTGAGTTTAAATTTAAACAGAAGTCTGCTACCATCATATCTGGTTTGCCCTTAGGACAGACTTCAGCAGCTTACCGCCCCCCTCCCCACCACATGTTTTGGCCTGTAACTTTTGTCATTCCTCACCATTGGCTATGGTAGTTAGGGCTGAAGAGAGTTAAAGACCCACACATTTGGAGGGGTGTAAGGTGCTTTCCCCTATCATAAGCATGTATATGTATTTTTGTTGACATATGTTCCCTTCCTTCCTTCCTTCCTTCCTTCTCATAATTGTGTAGCCATGTAATCTGATTAGATTCATGCATATTGACATATCACAGCTGAGTATATGCAGCGTCATCAAGAAAAGGAATTTTGCTCAAGGTGGTATGAAAACCTTTTTGTTCAGTCTGTAGTAAAATTTCACACATGGAAAACATCACTTGAGGTTGCGGAGTTTATGTGAACTCACCCTTATGAACCATTTAAATGAACTAACCATCCAGCAGTTCTGGGTTCAGTCATAAGGAAAAACAACTATTTTGAACTGCTAAAGTTGATCTGTATGCAGAGGAACAGACACACATACCTCTGCAGTGTATCTAATGATAATGTGTGAAGTATCTGATTTGTTCTTCCCCTTTGAGAGGAGGGAGCTGTGCATACAAGGCTCCACACAATTCCTCAGGTGTGTGGTATGGGGTTGTACAATGCACACCTACCAGTGTTAAGAGGATTGTTCACCAGGTAAATGTGTCAACTGGCAAACATCATGCAGGTGAAGGACTCAGGACTGAACCAGTAAATGACTGCGACTTACCTCTTAAATGTATACCTGGTGACAAACCCACCTGTGCATTATGTGTGACTGGCCCTTCTGCCACTTACTTGAGTTTTCACTGAACTGCCTTTATTCATGGGCTAAGAGACCTGACTGGCATTTACTTTCAGCTCCTTCGGATGACAATAGCAAAACAAAGACTTGGTGATGAGGAGGTTGGGGCACGCCACTTTGCACCACATGAGCGTGAAGACCTTGTCCAGCAGTTGGAAAAAGCAAGAGAGCAGGTAATTAAACAGTGCACATGACTTGTGATTGCGCATCCTGATACTTCCAATATGAATTAGTCACTCTCTGGAGGACTTTGATGGGCAGGGGCTCTCTTCCATCAGACAGCTTTGTTCAGCATGCTGTTTCCCAGTAGTGCTGACAGACAATTTTTGACTCTGGGTCTTATGGATGGCCATGTATATTACATCATTTTCTGCAAAATGGGATAAACTGGCCCTGTGGCATAAGGAGTTCTCCTGCTCATTTTGCTGAGAGGGTCCTGGTCATGTTCCCCAGGGTTCTGCTCTCATGACCTGACTGCCCACAGCAGTGATTTCCAGGAAGCCTGCAAGCGTGGCTTGAACACAGGTTTCCTCCCCTGTTGTTGCTCCTCAGCAACTGGCAGCCATTGGCAGCCTCCGTCAGGCTCCCTAGCTTACCTGCTTAAGGTATTGACGAGCGTGAGTCTTGTGGCAGTGAATCCTTTAAATTAACGAATTATGTTGTGGATACTTTTCCTTGGGCTGGAATCCAATTTTAATAGGAAAAAGGGCTTGTGGCTGATGTGCTGGATTCTCAGTCCCCCCATCTGCAAGTTACCTCTTTGCAATCTATTCCTCTTGCCTCAGCCAGGTTCTAGTGCTGGAAGTGAGCATGGCTGACAGAAGAGTGTTTTGTACAAGTGACTGTGAGGAGTAGGTTGAGGAACAAGTTCTGAATTTCACCCTGTGGACCCCCATTTCCTAAATTGGTTCCCCTCACCTATCTTTGACATGATCTGTTTTTATATACATGGATTTGCCATTCCTAGATCTAGTTTCATCCTAAATTGTACTGCGTTTGTCCATGTGCTTAACCAACTTTGTTTTGCAGTGATGTTGTTATTTATTGTATTACATTTACATCTTGCCTTTCTTCCTTTTGCAAAAAACTCGAATTTCTGCTCCTCTCCATTTTATCTTCGCAGTAACAGTCCTGTGAGGTGAGTTAGGCTGAGAGTTCATGACTGCCCCAAGACTCCCAGTGGCTGAGTGGGGACTAGAACCTCTATCTCCTGAGTCCCAGTCCAACGCTTATAACCATTATGCCACACTGACTTTCTGTTGGCTGTATGAAGAGATTCCATTCAATTGTTCTTTAAAAAAGTATGCAGAAGTGATTTTGTATCTAGGTTAATATGATCTTTAGTCAAATATAGTAATGTTTTTGATTTTGGCCTCTTTGTCAGATTGAGACTTTGCAACATGATCTTCAAGCAGTGCTGGATGAGCTCCAAGATGTAAAGGAAGAACGCTCCTTTTACCAAGATAAGTCCGACAGATTAAACCAAGAGCTTAACCATGTTCTCGGGGGACATGTAAATCGCATTATTGATGTTGATGCCCTTTGTATGGAGAACAGGTATGTTTATTTAGAAATGGTTCGTACTATTTAGGCAAATGGGCAGAATACAGTGATCACCCCTAATATAGCATACTTCAGAATTTTAGTTAAAAATCAGTGCATTCCTTTAAGGAACTCTGAAGCCATATCCTTGCTACAAATATAGATGACTTTGGTATTTATATTGAGTAATAAGAATAAAGTGAATGAAATTCTGTCACTTGAAGGCCTGAGGTAAAGCTCAAGTTCCAGAAAGCTACGAAATGGGAGGCCACGACAAATTGTGCTGTCACAAATTGTGGTGGCTTACAACTTACCCTCCAAGTGCTCACACAGGTGGGGAGGATGGAGTGCTTGGGACCAGCACTAGTGCCCCATGTTGTCTTGGCTCTGTATGGCCTTAGGAAGCATCTGAACCTTCCTGTATTGCTAGGGAAATTTTCCTGTGAGTTTATTCATGCCCGTATGTTGCTCACATCTCTATGCAACAGGAGGGGTTAAAAGATGGGAGGAGCTCTCTCCTTTCATCCTTCTCCGTCTGTATTTTTGCTTAACAAGAGAGTTTAAGGTTTGGAACTGCAACATAATGAATGAGGGAAAATTATTCATTGAGATTTCCCCCCAGCAAAAGCTTGAGCCAACATGAGATGGCCTTAATTCTGTTCTTAAAGCTGTGTTTAATCAAGTGTTTTGATTATTGAATTTCCTTCAAAGTGAATCTGTTATCCATGCCTAAGAGTTTTGAGTACCTGAATATGGCTAGATTCTTAACAACTACCTGGAAGAGTATGCATAGTGTAGTGACATACTCAGGATAATGTGTGAATGCCTTGACTGTGAAGCTAATTCCCCACCACTCAGAAAGACATCGCAGAAATCAAGCCCCTCAAACTATATTTCTACTTTCAGAACGGCAACAGAATGGCCCCAATAGCCCACCTTTCCCTTTCTCCATCAAATAGAAAAGAACAATATTCTGCATTTGAGAAAGGTAGTGTGAAGCCCAGATCCTTCTGTTTCCCTCACCCTTGCTCCCCCACCCAGTTTCCTGAGGATCAGAGTACATGTAGCTTCAAAACTTCAGTAGCAGTTCTTCCAGTAAGCTCTAACCAGCTTTTCCAGGGAAACCTATTAGTGAGAACTCTGTTCATCAGGAGGGAAAAGAAAACATGTGGCAGTAGGCACACTGCAGCATGGTCAGGAGTGCTGATAAACCCTGCATGGGCTGCCTGCCAGGCATTTCTGCCTGCTTTCTCTTCCCTCTGCCCCTTTACAACAGTCTTCCTTAAGCTGGTAGCAAGCCCATTATGACCTGTGTCTGATCGTCATTGGCTATGTGGACTTAGTTTGCCATGAGCTTAGGGTGGCACAAGTTCTTGCATTCAGCATTACGACTCACATCTCTTGAATGCAAACTCCCTACGTTACACTTTGTTGTGAACCTTGTAACCCCTTCTGTAAGGCTTTAATCAAATTGAATCTGTTTGTTGTAAACTGCCCCAAGAGCTTCAGCTACAGACAATATAGAAATGAAAGAAATAATAAATAATAAAATTAATAATAATCATTTTCTGATTTTCTAGATACCTTCATGAACGATTAAAGCAAATTCAAGAAGAGGTCAACATTCTTAAATCAAATATTGTGAAATATAAGGTAATTTTTATGTGATATGCTATGGATTAGATCCAGATTTGTGCTGGATCAACTGTCCTGAGTGAAGTGAAATTTCCCGCCCCCTTTTTCCTACAGCAGTCCCTCCAGACCCTGAAGCAGAGTTAGAAGGCTATGCTGATTGGGGTGAGCTGTGGTGTTGGGGAAAGAGGGGTTCCCCCAAAACCAGGCAGAGGACCTTCCATGAACAGAGATCTATCTCTGATGAATGGTCCTTCTGCCATATAGAAGGCAATCCTGGATCCAGCCCTGTATGTTTGTTACTTATCTTTATAATGTAGACTTGTAATTGTTTACCACATTCTGCCCATTCAAATATTTGATTTGAAGCTAGATTAATTATTTCACAAAAAATAGTGAAGGACTGCTTCTGCTCCCTGAGGTTGCAAAGTGCAATTGATTAGTTTTAGCCAACCTATATAACTGATCTATATTATTTTACTTAATTTGAGGGTAATTTTTGAACAATATATGTTCTGCTATCACTAGAAGGATGACTCAATTACCCGTAATTTAATTATGCATTATTTTCTTGTTAGAAAAGATAGGTTTCCGTTTACATTATCCCCATGGGAATGCTTCTGAAGAAATTACTGTTAATGTTTCCTGTACACTTCTTGAGTCAGCTGAATCATATAATCAGAGAGTTGGAAAAAGCCTTGGAGGTCGTTTAGTCCAATGCCCTCTTCCACACAGGATCTGCAGCATCCCTCACAATCTTTGTTTAACTACTCACTGCAAAGGAAAGCCGACCTCCTTGCAAGGCAGATATTGTAATATGGACTTGTAAATGTAGACTTCCCCAGCAATAGAATCGTTTGCTTGTTTGTTTATTTGTTTATTATGAATATATGTATGTATGTTATGCATATATTCAGATTGCCCGTGCATTCTGGAAATGGTGCTTATTGTCTTCCAGTACAATATTTTGATTTTAAAATACTGGCATGTTTTTCTGGGACATTTTGCACAAATCACACTTAATTAATAGGACCTGTGCAAGTGTGCTCCTATACCTGCAGGAGGTTCAACATGTGGTAACATGTGGTCTACATCCACAGTTTGTAGTGTTCTGACAATTGGTGAGGGAATTTACTGCACCTCTGCTTCCATGGACTTCTGAACCTTCCCCTTGCATAACCTTTTTTCCCTTTAAATTGGGTGAAAATCTCTGATAATGTTCTCTTCCACATAGCAAATTGCATGACACAAGGCTCCTCACATATTTACTCTAGTTACTTTCACAGATTTAAGGCATGGTTAGATAAAGGAAAGAGATGCAACAGTCAGCATGTCCCAGCCAGTTGTAGACCTCTTCGTCTAACCATGCACGGAACCACACATTTAGGCACTTAGACAAACTGAAGGACCAAAAGTTGATTTCCAGTGCCTAGCTTCTCATTCTAATTAAAGGTTTTGTAAACTTCTCTTCCCAAAAGCCTTTAAAGTATTCTCTGTTTCTTGGTTGATTTTTGTTTATTTGTTTAGAATGCTCTAGAAAGAAGGAAAAATTCCAAGACTCATAGTAAGTCAAACAGCAGTGCACTAACCGGAGTCCTTTCTGCAAAGCAAGGTACTATGCAGATTTTTGTCTTAATATTTTGCTCTTGAAACTGATGACTGTAATACTTTTTCAGTTAAAAAAAAAACAAAGGTATTGTTCCCAGAAGGAACAGGCAGTCTTCTTATTCTGTCCATAAAGCAAGGTGCTACTAGAGACTACAAGAGCTACTGCACATCCCTTTCTTTCCCTTTTCTAGTAATGGCCAGTACAATAATGTGATATTATGTCATCATAGTGTTTTTTTCCCCATGCTTACATTACATCGTGGAATGAGGACGTGTTGTCTCATTTTTGCCTGGTTTTCGCATATTCGAAAACTTTAGGATAGGGTTGTTGTTGAATCATGAATTGTCACTGTACACATGCAGACCTGCACTATGGTTCAACAATAGATTTTTAACCATGAACAACCCAGGAAGAAAACCCAAGGTTTGTTCTAGAGTTGTTGGTGGTGAACAACAACATGTAATTAACTCCTAATGTAGGATTTACATATAGTGATAATCCACGCTTCGACGACAACTCATATTTAACCCATGTACATTTATCTTAGCATTACCAGGACATCTTGGTGTTTCTTTTAAGAACTGATTCTGCCCTCTGATTCAAGCCAATTGCAGGAAAGGTTAGACTGATTTGTCACTACTCTTCCAAATGGAAGCAGTGCCCTCACTAAAGGCATCATGAAGGTATTAAAAGAAAAGGGCTGTGTTTTATAGTCATTAAAAAAAGAGTACAGGGCCTTCAGCTGACAAGGAAGCCATATGCTGAGTCAATAGAACCTGTTACATGTGGCTAAAAGAAGCACTGTAATAATGAAGTATGACAATACAAATAGTACAAAAATGAATAGATTTCATATCCTGTACTATAGACAAGTATATTTGGCTATACTATATTAAATTTTACATGTTTCTCATGCATTGTTGTAACATTAATATTATCATATATCAATATTACAACACTTTATTCACATTATAGGTACCATTAGTCTGTGGTTTTCTGTTTTAAAATTGGCACCAAGCTTGGGATAAGCTTTGGGTTCTGATAGTAAACACTGATGATGTATTATGCCTGTAAACAAAAACTATTTATGTGTGTCCAAAATACTGCAATAACGCACCTGTGGTATAGCATAGATACTCTATTAAAATGCAACCCTTATTATTTAATAGACTATACATAAATGTTACCTCTGTTATTTTAGTATTTCATTTCTCTGTGTTAAGGATTAATCTTACTTTGGGATAAGTAGTATTTTTAATTTTATCATTTTTACAATATCAATAAAATTACATATAAAAATACAATCCTAGCTAGTTGTTCCATGCTTCTGTTTGCTTGGAAGTTTATATGCTTATAAGAATACCAGCCCCGAATAACCATATAAACACTTTTGGTCACGAGGTTCTGATTGGGTTGACAGCATGCAGTCTGGACTGATTACATGGGCCAAAAATGCGACTAATTTTAAACACAATCTTACTCATTATGGGAACTTCCATGGGAATCTTGACATTGCTCTGTGTAAATTAGGTGTAGAGTTTCCCCCTATGGCTGTAAAGGAATCTACACTCTACAAAGGTACCTTTCCCTTACTTTGGGGGCAAAAAAAGAGTGCTCCTCTATTCTACCATTTATGGGAATTATACATCACGTTTCTGATTATGCTACACTTCCTGGGAAAGCAGTAATACTAAAGATGACTTGGGTTTTCCCCCCAGATATCAACTGATGTATCTGTTCCAAACATGAATCTTAAGTTTGCTTTTTTTTTTTTTTCATTTTGCTTCAAATGTTTCTAGTCCAAGAACTCTTATCAGAAGATCATGGATGTAGCCTACCAGCCACACCACAGTCCATTTCTGATCTTAAATCTTTGGCTACAGCTTTGCTAGAGACAATCCATGAAAAAAACATGGTCATTCAGCATCAAAGGCAAACGAACAAGTAAGTATTTCATTGGCAGTTAGACAGACTCAGATTGAAAGCCATCCTATCTTTAATGTTATGTGGTAGCTTTAAATAGATAAAGAGCAATGCAATGTGTCTCTGTCTATGTCCAGTCTGTTTCTGGACCATGTCACTTCTGTGTTTTGCATGACCATTGCATACCATTTCTGTATTAAACTGGACTTTTACAAAAATATGTTTTAAAAAAGTAATTTAAATTACCATATTTATAATAGCATTTTCTTTAAAAATAAATATTGTTAAATGAATGCCCTCACAAAATAGATGTATTGTCAAGATACCAGAACATTTGGAAAGTGTTAAAGCTCATGAGAGCTCTGTTCTGATCAGTGATTTGGTTTGGAAAGTGTGGATTTGGTTGGTTTGTCCTGGAACAATCATAATTTCATTCATTCCCTTGCAACATTTCTGTCTCAGCCAATCGGCAATGTTTTCTGGCAGATCCATTAAGAATACATAGTGTTAAAAACCATTTATGCAGAAACAGACAGCACACAATTTCAAACAAACAACAGTAAGAAAAACCCAGAGAGATTGAATCCAGAGAGTTCAAATTTGTCAAGTATGCCCGATTACAGTCCCTAGTAAATGCATTTTGAAATAAATAATGCAGACTACTCATTGGTATAATACCATGTCAAACCAACAGTATTCCTCAAGGAGACAGAATATTTTCAGCAAAAGACCTATGTCTTTATGTCAAGTAAAGTTATCTAGGCCTGAACATTTTTAAAAAATATTAAAGTACTTTTATTCTGGTAGTTTGGATGTTGTCATCTCCATATGCTCAGACAGACCCTTGGTCCTTCTAGCAAAATTTCAATTCTGGTTCAAGTTCTGGTTTTGCAATGGAATCTGCCTTGGTTGGGAGGTATAGGGGAAACCTTGATTTCTGAGTGGACGTTGATACATCAGCCATGTTATTCCTTGGGTAAGGGAGAACCATACCATGGTGGTTCTGTTCCTATCTGTGGAGTTCACTCCAGAGAATGTCAGTGGGGGATTTCATCTTGACCCCAGAAATTATGTTGTGGGGTGCCTCTGGGCATAATTCAGCCACCATTGCTTTTTAGCATTTATATGATGTCATTGGGTACTGCCATGGGGTTTTGGGCTCAATATACAGACGATACCCAGCTCTATTTCTCTGTTGCATCTCAGTCAGGTGTGGCCTTCCAGGACCTGGGCAGATGCTTGGGTAGAATGGTGGGCTGGATGAGGGCTAAACAGCTGAAACTGAATCCTGGTAATGGATGCTCTGGTGTGGTTCCTTGGTGTAGAAGCTGGGTAATTTGCCTGTCCTGTATGGGGTATCACTCTTACAGAGACAGGTATGTAGTTAGGGGTTGCTCTTGAATTCATCAGTCATTTAAGGCCCAAGTAGTTTCAGTGGCAAAGAGCCCTTTTCACCTGTCTAGGTTGGTGTGGCTACTGTGACCATTCTGTGACACTTAGGATTGTCGGGTTACCACCTGGGTGTGCTAGATGCATTGGACCATGAAGACCTTTTGCCGGAGCTTCACATGCAGATAGCTTCTGAATGTGTGTTTCTACCTTACTTTCTGCTCTTATTGAGAAAGACGTGGATGCACAGAAGAAAAACAATCATTTTGTTATATAAAAAATGAAGTAGAGACAGGAACAGAAGAGGTGCGGTCTAATGTTAGCCATGCAGAGCAGTGTAATATTCTTCACACAGTCAGTCACATGTGTTACCCTTGGAATTCAGAGACCCTGACATAGGAAGGCACAGCAGAGTATCCCCTCTCCATTTCTCTTGCACAGTCTGTCTGTGATGTGTGCCTGTCTTCTCACTTGCCCATTGAGGCTAATTGCAAGATTCCCTGCATGCAGTTTTGTGCCATCTTATCCTGTTGTGGCCTTAGATTCTCTGTTGTTTGGTTGCAGCATTTTCCCACTGCAGGTGTATGCTGCTGTAAAGATGTCTGTCTCAATGTCATATATTCCTTGAGGTGCATGTCAGTATTCTGTGTTAGCATGCCTGACCCTTAGCTTTGTATGCTTTAAATGGTCTGCAGTTCCTTAAGAGGAAAGGAGGGGCTGTGTGGATGAGTGAGTGAAACTCTTTTCATATCATGACTTCATTCCTGTTGTGCTCACTGTGCTGTGAACCCTAGTAAGACATTTTAATCCAAGTTAGAATTCCTTAAGCCAGTCTTGATGAACTTACGTCTTCTGGCTTTCCCTGGGTTAATCTGATCATTCTCCAGACTATTCGCTAAACCTGTGTTTTCTCCTTTTCCTGTGAACTGGCCTAAACCCATAAAGACAGGTATTCCCTGTTAGTATTCCATTAACATTATCTCTACTGCAACCCAGCCACCACATTTGCAACTGTACAGCTCTTCTTTAGTGTGAGAGATCAATTTGCTTGCCTCTTGACTGTTCATCATACTTAGCAAGTTTCAGGCCCTGTTTAGATGCTTGCCTCATTCCTATATGGATTTCTCATATACTGCACCATGACAAAGAAGATGAATTAAATCATAGAAAGCATCATTCCTTACAATTCCTGGACACGGGTTGCCTGGCCATAGCGATCCATGCATTGGACACTTCAAACTTGGACTGTGTGGTTCAGAAGCTGCAGCCAGGCAAAATGTGGGAGCTTGATGGTTCAGCAGAACTTCTTGCTGTGCACATATGGCTCCTGTTCTGAAAGCGCTGCCCTGGCTGCAAATTAGCTACTGAGCTCCGGTCTGTATTGCTGGTTTGTAGAGCCCTAAACAGCTTGGGAACAGGTTTTCTGAGAGACAACCTTCTTCTGGGTAGCCTGTCACAGTCAGGCTTGCTCCACATTCAGAGGAGGAGGGCTTGCTGACACTCTATGACCTACTGAAGCTCTTCTGGCCATGGTGTGGAGGAGGGCCTTCTCTGCTATGATGCCCCCATGTGGGCTGTGGGGCAGTAGGGAAATGGAAATAATAATCTCTCCACTGAGACCAGGTGGAGTGGAGGTTGCCCAAGCATTTCATTGATTGCTGCTATTGTTGGCTACCCCTTGTTATTTTTATCGAGATTTTAGTGTTTCTTACGTTGTTTTAATCATTGCCTATATAGTATTTTGCATTGTAAACCACAATGAGAGTTTGTATTTTATTTTAAAATTATGAAAAGCAGTATGAGGGGTTTTTTTTAAAGTGTAAATAATAGAGTGTCCTCTCTCCAGTTCAGGGCACAGTAGGCTGTGCTGTTAGTTATGCGAATGTAAATTCCATAGGATTTGTCTATGCATTGGCTGGATGTGTTCCAGCAAAGGATCAATGAGTCTGAGACAGCTAGGGAAGGAGGTCTGATTAACTATAACAATGCAATGGGTCAATGCATGCATTCTATAAGTGTGTGCATGGTGGCAGGGCGGGGGGGGGGCATGCACCTGTTCAGAGCTCCCCCCGCCACTTCAAGGAAGGGTGAATAGTGACAGCATCTGATGGGTAGTATCCCATTGTGTCGTTGTGCTCTCAGGACTCTCCACTCCTGCAAGAGGCCTTTTGCTGCTTTAAAAATAACACAGGATGAGCAGGAACATTAATATCTGCTAGTTTCAAGGGTCATTTTTTTAAAGCTCCAGAGTGCTCAGTCCCGGAAAAACAGTGGGACTGGCAGAGGTGGAGCTGTCTCATTCGATGCTATTTTACTTCTGCTAGTCTCTAACATGTTGAAGACACATCTGAAACTGGTGTGTGTATAACATGAATTAATGTATACCATACATTTATACAGGTAAATAGATAAAATAGGCAAAAATTAAAGTTATTTTTGTAGTGGAATATATATCATCATTCACTGAACCCACCCCCACCACCCTGTCATTTGTGTATTTTGCTCTTCATAAATTCTCTCTCATGAAACTGTGTATCTTTATTTCAGAATCCTAGGCAATCGTGTAGCAGAGTTGGAGAAAAAGCTGAGAACATTAGAAGTCTCTGGTTTGTGGAGCCTCCCAGGTTGGTAAGAATTCACAACAGTTCTGAATTTTGGGGTGTCTGAACATGTTGACTGGAATTGCATGACATGACAGTTCATTGTGAGTCATGGTGGAAGTTGTCCAAACTCAGACCACTTCCCTTGGGGAGCTTGATTTGGGGACAACAAGCCTTCCTGATAACACATGGCTTTCTTTAGGGCTTGTTTGGCTTATGATGGGCTGTTGTGTCATTCAAACCTAGGAGACTGAATGCATCATGGGTTCTGGAGGTTGATGACACCCTCCACCATTGCATCTTGCTCTTTCTTCCAGCAGTGACAGCATCTCCACTGGTGCCCAAGCAGCACTTTGCAACAACCTTTAAAAATGTCTCCAGAAAATTGCTCAATTGTGTTTGTCATTTTTCTATTATTATTTTTGTTGGTCTTTCATAGATTCATAAGTGCCTCATTAAGCCTTTCCAATATCTCTGGTCTTGCCTTGTAAATGGCCCTGTAAATTTCATCTTTCCGTGGGAACAGTAGATTAACAAGGCAAGACTTCATATAGGATAATGTGCATGCAGTTGACAGCTGTTACTTGAGAAGTATAGGCGGAGTGATGGTGCACCATTGTTCTCTACCATTTGAAGATTTTCCAGTAACAGCAGAAAAGGAAGATCCTAACTTTCCTACCTTTCTGGGAGATTTACTGCTCTGGTTTCTGAGGGTCCTTGACAGAGCTAACCCCCACCTCCAGGAAGCAACTGAATGGGACCAAGTGAATGGTACTCCATGGAGGGTTGGTTAATACCATTGGTGCTGGTGTCCCACTTGTTCTGCTATCTCCGCTTTTAAATGTTTTTACACTTTGAGGGCTAGGAAAAACATACAAGTTTAATAGCCATGAATTAAGTGGGGGGATTTAAAACCAATTTAAGGGCAGGGGAGTGAATGGAGGGTAAATTTGCACACTTATAGTGACTCTTCAAGTTCTTGTATGCATGGAAATTCACTTTCAATTTACTTACTAGCCATTCAGTTTCATATATTTCCCCATTTATTTGCCAGCCATTCAGTTTGCATCTTGGACAGTTTACCAGTCCAAAAAACATTGCATTGTTTAAAACTGTCAGGGAACTGCAGTAACTGCAACAGTAAATGATCCAAAAAGGAGACTTGAGAAGGGGCAGAAGTTAATATCTCCCCTCTCTGGAGCAGCGAGACTTCCTCTTTCACCACATCCACTCTTCCCACTTCAGTCCCTTTTTTAATTAGCAGCAGGGAACTGTGCCCAAATTAACCTCTATGCCATCTCGCCTTGTCAGTTTCCACTTACCACTCCCCTTGTTAGCTGAATCTAAAAAGGCCATTGACAAGACAATGCTACACATATCGGACTGTTATAAGTGTACATTTGTGCACCTGCAAAAAACTGAAAATAATGCTGTTGCTGATGATAGCAATAACAATTGTGTAATTTACAAAGCCTCCCCCACAAAAGAGTCCAATTGTGCTTCTGGGGAGTTATTAGATTGTATTAATTTATTTCTAAACAGCAGTAAATGAAAAGGAGTAGCCGTGGGGGGAGGTGGGTTCTAGGGGGGTTCTGCCACGAAGGACTGGTATATGGGTTTCAGGACTAAGGGGAAAGGAGGTTGGGAACAAGCTATGGTGGACCTTATTCTCAGGGTCTCCTAGTGTGAGAGGACTGTTTTTAACATAGAAGCCTCCACACTTTTACAACACCCTACCTGCATTCAGTAGAGTTTAGTCATGAGACAACTTCCTCATGCAATTTTCTGAACATCTAGTACAGCCTTAAGTGCTTATTCTGTGAAACATGAGGGAATAAAAATTAAAATCTATTATAAAAATATATTTTCCAATGGCAGGAAATCGCAATTGAAGCTCCATAATGAAAATATTTTTCCTTTATTCTATAATATTACTCCCCTTGAATACACTTCTGAAATTGGGGTAAAATGTGCTTTCTAAAATATGACTTTGTGTTAAAACAGTATATCTGCTACACCCCTCCAACCTTTTATTGTAATTTATTGGTACTGCCATTAGCTCTATGAGCTCAATTCATATGTTATTTTTCAAAGACCAAAATATGCTCTTTTGAATTGCACTTTTGTCTGAAGATTTGTAAAAATGTATTGAGGACATAAAAATGCATATATCTTTCTTTGGCAAAATTCTGTTAGTGGCTCTAGAATTCACTATTTTCCCCCTCACAGAAAAGAATATGGTCGTGAATAAGTACTGGCTATTTAGCAGTAACGTCACATTATATTTCCATAGGCATTCAAATGTGGAAGGAGCTTTCTAGTTATTCTTTAACCCAAGCCTGCCAATCTGAGTCCTGCCCCCAATGTGTATGAAACGTTTGTGCAAGGGTTGAACCAGTGGTGTGGCCCTTCTCTTCTCTCCATGCATTGAGTGCACTTGTGGAGGCTAAGATAAGAACATTGGTTCATTGTCCTTTTTATAGTTCAGGTTACAGAATTTATTTTCACCTACCCCTTGCCCTGAGAGTTTACCTAACCCAGCTTCCAAAACGTTGGACTTCTACTTTTTGCTCTTTTATTTTTGAAATGATACTTCTTGGGGAACCAGATCTGAGAAAGGGTGTAACAGTGATTCCTGAAACCCTGTGCTTTGCAGCAGCACAAATATCCCACAACTTTATATCACATAATGGCTGTAACATCTTTCTTTCCCCCTGAACTTCATGAGCCATCTATTCATAAGGTTCAGTTCACATGGATAAAGATAAGTAGAGGTGCAGTACAAAGCTCTGCCTGGTTTTGTTTTTCTTTTTAATGATGTGTGAATAAACTGTGCTCAGTGGGACTTTCTCCAGCTACTTATGGGCTGTTACTTATGGGCTGCTCAGATTTAGATGCCTTTGCTCATCTTTGTGGGAGGCTGTTCCCTCTAAAAGCCTGCATCCCCTCAACGAAAATCAAGTCTAGTGCTCTAGATGGATATATACTGCAGAGGCTGCCTTCACTGGGATGCCCGGAGAAGAAATAATAAAGTGCTGAATTCAGCTCTTTGGTTTTTAAAAACCAGGGTTGCAGAGATTAGCGCAGTGCCTGTAGAAATCCCAGCATTTGTAGAAGCATCTGGGTAGCATTTCTTCCAGAAAGAAGTAGGATTCAGAGCCCACAAAGTTCTATCTGATTATTATCAGAAGGGAAATAAATTATGTATCAGAAGCAAAAGCATTGCTTATTTGGTATGGGGTGCAGATTTATATTTTTCTTGGCACAGGATTTTGAAAACTTTTGCCATTTTCCCTGAGAATAGTAGCAGCACCTTGAGAAGGAATGAATGGGGCTGCACACAGTTCACGTAATTTGTTTATTTTGAAAAATGAAGTATTTCTAGGCTGCATTTCAGGGCAGAAGCAGTTGAACAGTTATATATATTGTTGTGTTGAAGGCTTGGTGGTTTCAATGTTCAGCACAAAATCAGTGTTGGCTGTAGGTCTGCAAGTTTTCCATGAAAACCTTTTCCTTGACCATTCCTCACCCCACCCATGGGCTCTTTTCTAGCATAATCTCAGCCATTCAGGGATCATATCCTGATAATGTGCTGATGTCACTGAGTAAAGAAGAACCCATTTAGAGTGAGGGCATGTTGTTTCTAGGCTGGTTCCTGCTTGTCATATCACAACTTCCCCATCAGCTTCATTAGCTTCTATAACCTAATTTTGCGTATACAACTGTCTTCAGAATTAGTAGTAGAATTGCTAGGAGTACTATTTGCCTACTAGTTGAATATGTGCAAACACTCTCATTTTTACATAATGCAGTAATAATTGAGAAATATTGTTGGTGTGGAAACTATTGAACTTTTCAACCTGGAAGTTACTGAAACTTAGAAACGTTGCTCTAAGAAATGTTTTTGGTAAACTGTGGACCACCCCCACCCCCTCCACTGAATGCACATTCTTTCTTTTTTAAGTGTTTTGCTCTGGCTCTGTGACATTTAATATCAAAAGCACAGTTCCTTTCTTTTGTCTGCAGGCTATCCAGAATATCCATAAATCTCTTCTGCCACTTGTTTTCATGAATCGAAAAATGATTATGTAGATAAGTCTCAGAAATATAGATCCAGTAAATTGATTCATTTTACTGGACCAACTAGTAGCTATCAATTTTCAACTATACGCTCACTTCTTTAGGCAAAGCTGTTAAAGCAAAAGAAAGATAAAAATAGGTGGTGTGATCCACATCGTTAGAATGATGTGACTTCATTTGTTTAGAAGAAAGAAAGTGACCATCTACAGCTGTTCATGTCTGCCCATTTAAGCAGGATTGCCTTGAATATCCATGGTGAGAACAACAGCAACACTCATCTTCTGGGAGCTGAAGGGGCCCCTAAGCCCACCTTGTCTCCTGGCAGAGGGCGGGCTTATCTGATAGCAGCAACAGAGAAACCATCTGCCTTTTTGAATTGCCCACAATTCCCTGGAGTGGCTGAATTCACTTTAGAACATTGTGCGAGTGAAAATGCTGGGGGGCCCCAACGATGGTCAAGCAAGCTTATGACCAGAGGAGCAGCTGAAGACCCTCTGGTCTCGGGCAGTGCACACCACAGGGCATGTTGCTTGAGGACACATGTAATCTCAGGTGGGCATGGCTCATTGTGACTTGGGTTCCAGATAGCTGTACACAGAATCAAGGTGTACAGTATTTATATTAGAAATAGATCAGAGACCTCCATTTATGCAGGCTTTGCAGAGACACAGAAGTAATTGAAAATATGCTATAACTGAAAATGGAGGATCATTTCCAGAAATAGTGTGTGTAGGTGGGCTTTATGAAGCATGCCTTTTGACATCTGTTCTGTATTCTTGTTCTCTGTTTCCACTACTTGGAGCCAAAACACAAGATCGCTGCAGTCATAAGCTGATAACTATTGCTGAACTCTTCATGTTGGACTGTTAGCAAGAGGTGCCATGATTAAATGCACCCCATACTTTAAAAACCAAAAACTTCTGCATACATGCAAAACTATTGAT